CCTGCCAATTTGGGGCATCACCGCTGATGGCTTGGTAGTTATCGTAAAATACGATCAGCTGCAGACAGAAAATGTGAACTTCAGTTGGTAAAGATCACTATCGCATCCATGAACTTAAAATTCTAGAAGCTTGAAACAAAAATTAGGCTGAACTTTTTATAACGTACTATTGTCAATTTGAAGCATTACTGCTGATGACAATTGAGTCTGGATAGTCATTATGTATAAAACAAGATTTCTTTTGTTGACAGAATTATTCAAAGACATCATTGGTGACAAAAGCTTCTAAAAAGACAGACGAACTTAACTTACGAAGAAAAATTTTCAAAATGAAGGCATTTCATTTTTGAGGGCGCTTAATTTTCGCATCCTCGTTATTTCTGTAGACGAGAATGTACAAGGTATATTTCTTTATGGCTTTAAAATCTTAGGAAAATTACCTTAAAAAGATGGTTGTTGGACAAATTGAATGACTCAATCAGGTTCCATGCGAACCCAGGCTCAGAATCAAAATCACAGAATACTTGGAAAGTTTGGTTTCGGTCATCAATAACGGTGTACAATCCAGAGGCGGTGAAACTGGCTGCTTTATAATCCTGACAGCTTCTTCTCAGCTGAATCTCGCAGTGTTTACCAACAAACGGTACAGGACAGGAACAGTTGTACCGAACATTTGTGGGCTCACAGATCTCAGTACAGGTTCCTCCATTGAGACACGGATTGTTCCTGCAGCAGCCATTGCTACACGTGACATCATCAGTACATGGAATAACGTGGTTAGGAGCCTTATGTGCAAAAATTGGTAAAACAATAAAACAATTTTTCATCATTATATCATTATTGTGATCCTAATTTGTGTTTGACAGAAAAGTGTTGCATTAACCTAAGCTTTTTCTTTTATCAAGTTTGCAATTTGCAAGCTTTTACGGTTGCTCCCGAAATCTCTAATGCCTCAATCTGGTAGCCTTTTTTAAATACCGACCATGCCATAATGATCCATTAAAATTACCCCTTTTTCAATATTTAAACGAGTGAGATCACACAATGCCAAATATTTCCTAAAACGTATCAATGAGTCTTTGATTTTATGTCTCTACTTTCTATAGGTCAATCTCGTTTATGAAAAAACAATGTTTTACTACGGAATCGGGAAAAAGACGAATTTTTCCATTTCGTAACAATTTGTTTTTAATATTTTCTCTACGAAATAAATTCGATTATATTTTTGACCTGCGAATGATATTCAAGATATCTTCGCCGGTGGGCAGCTCTTGCACCTACCAGGAACAGTTCCTTATTTGAATGTTTCTCCGTTAGTTGTCTGATTCCATTTTTGTATTTCGAAAGATTCATCTCTTTTCATGAAAATTTAAGTAACGAGATGTGTTAACTTTCAAGATCCGAATAAAGATGGACCTTAAAATACAGACTGGGAAAAATAGTAGGTTTTTTTTCGAAGTTTTCAGTTTTGGAAAATAATTTAAATCTCCCATCTTTTTGCAGCTGTTAGCTCGAGCTCAAAACAGTCGATGTTCTCTGTTTTGAAATATTTTTGGGGAAGACATCAGCATCCACAAGGAGAGGTAGTCATAATTTTAGTTTAGTTTTGCTTCTGATTATTTGAGAAACTAGAAAAACTCGGAACTCATAATCTTATTGTTAAATAGATTATCAAACAACTTCCATAAACAACTACTGCACTATAATACACCTACGCAATCATTTATATCTATTCAACATACTTAACCAATAGACTTAAAGTGCAGCACAGCTGTAAGCATGTATGTACGTTTATACATTTTTTCCATTTTACACTATAGACAGTGTGGACCTATTTTTGTAGTTTATCGTCAGCCAGAAGCTTTTTCGGTTTTAACTATAACAAATGAATAGCTAATAGCTCAAGATGAAGACCTGGAATCATTCATGGTAAAAATACCTCATGACAGAATAAAGTTTAATATCTTAGTAAATTATTCCCTTTAGCTGTGCTCACTCCCGAGCTATGGAATTAAACACTCGAAGAGAAATTCCATATTTACGCCCACACATGTATTATTTTCTATTGAACACCTTTTATCTAAAGATAAAGAGTACAAAGATGGGTCGTAAAAATACTATATGGCATTGAGAAATGTAGTACCTTAGTGGAGTATTCCCTCCGCAGTACGTAGTAAACGCTTCCGTGGATGTCTTTCAGAGAGTTCTTGTTTGTAAAATGGCTGCCTTCGTTTAACTCGCAGTATTTGGTGTTGTTCTTGACCTTGTAGTTTATCGACGAACATCGACAGTCGTTGATACACCACAGATAGCACTGCTGTGGGTTTGAAGTGACAGAGTTGTGGAAGACATGGTCAACAAGCTCTTTATTATGATCGGCGCCTTGTCGCTCATCAAAAGAGATCTTTTCACATTTTAGAGGGGAGCAGTAGCCCCTAACTTGAAAAGCTGACAAGAGTATACAAAAAAACTTTGCAACCATCATTTTTATCGTTTTCACACCCCAGCCGGGGAAACGATGTTTCTCAAAATGTCCTTCTTGAGCAGATTACTTATTTAAGATATCGCCCATCCCTATGTGTCAATAAACGTGTAAGAAACCAATCAAACGAGTTCACAGAAAATGACTTCACAATATGAATATTCAAGGCTCAGAAAAGTAATGTGCTTGATATTTGCCTGGTGTGGCGCACAAATAACATGATGCAGATGTTCTACTTAGGACATAACTTCAAATTTCTTCCCTCCAAAACTGCGAATGTGTTGTTTAAAACGCATGTGGAACAACCTAGGCTAGTTTTTCTGAGTTTTTGCGGATAAAGTTTACTCTTAAATCAAGCCCATTGATGGTGACTATATAAACCTCATGTCAAATTCAGTTGTTTCTGATTTTCATCCAGTTAAACCATACTGACGACACTTTTATTCGCATCAAATTTTATATATATTTTTTGAAAATAGGAAGAAACGCGAGAGAAATTTGACTCACGAAGGAGGAAGAAACATTCGACTAGCACTCGTGTTTCTCCCTACACTTCTTTCGTGCTCAAGCCGCTTCCTACGTACTTTTCAACACAACGTGTTGAGCACAGTCAAGGCTTCTTTATTTGTATATAAATAACACAGTCTGGTAGAACTGCATGCGTAATGCAAAACAGGGTGAGTACATTGAATGCTTAATACCTTTTATAATTTGGTTTCTCTTCAGTGCTGGCAAAACAAACAAGACAATATCTACATGTGAATTTGAATTATTAATTATTGATATCCTGACGCCAAATAAATGATAGCCTCCACCGTACAAGTTCATCAGATGCAAGCTCAGTTTAAAGTGTGAGGAGAATTCAGTTGTTTTATTTATGAAGCAAACTTGTTACGCTCACTGTCTACTAGCAAGGACTTGCGAAATAATATCACACTTTTGAAATCATTGCTTTGTTCATATTAGAGATTAAAATACAGCAAGACATTAAGAATACAAAAGGATAAAATGCGGGGGAACTACTGGCAAGGAACCCCTCAGGAGAATGCTTTTGTCATATCAGAGTTAGACAGTAAGACATTGAGAATACAAAAGGATAAAATGCGGTTGATTTTGATATCAATTAATGTCCAACTATGCTCCTAAATGAAAACCAGACGATAGAGTTAATTACAAACAGCATTTTGGCGAAATTTTTAGCAACGGAATATCTGTAGCAGACAACCAGTCCAAGATTTCTCGATTATGTTGTACAGAAAAGAAATATAATATTCAATCGGTTCCTAGAATTGAGATTTTCGCTGAGTGTTTGAAAAAATATAACGATATGGCAAATTATCTCCAGTCTATTCAAGGCCAATAACTGAGGCAAAACTGATAATAATTAATGTTAGAATTTCCTTCGACAATTTCGTGTTACCGTTGCACCCACCACCTTAAATAGATTTTACAGAAAATAGATATGAAGGGTTAAAAATTAAAAAGAGGAACTTATGGCTCCAGCTGTAATTTTGTGTGTAAAGTTTATGGCCGGCGTCTTCACATGAGTGGATTTTCAGGGAGAACAGAGGAGGGGTGGGGGGTCAGTCGTCGCCAACAGAGTATTGAGGGAAGACTATAGGAAATTGACTGCCAATTAAGAGGGATCATTAGAATATTACAGAGACTTTAGAAGATCAAGTAAATTTTATTGTGACACAACTAACAAATTGACATTGTCTCAACAGACCCCCTCGCTCTTATTTAAATTTAAAAAAAGTTGCATATTTACAAGCATAACTAAAAAATCTCGCAAATATGTTTTATACCTGCAAACTGCAGGGAATTTGCAGACAAATTTGGGGTTTGTATTTAAGTCGGTGAATATTTTTTGATCGTTCTTACAACTGTTGAAAATATCTTGTGCTAATGAGAGTTGAATACAGATCACTCGAGAGAGCTCTATTGATGTTAAATCTTTTGATATGCAAATTCACATTTCTAATTAATCAGAGTCACTTTTCAGTCATGTTTGGACTGAAAAAGACTAAAGAACGTAAGAGAAGAGTAAAATAAATTTAAAATTACAGAGATTACCGTAGAACGAAAGTGTCACGCAGAGTTTCACTATCATGTGTTTTGTTAGCTGATATTCTGGACAATGATTTTACGACTTTATTATATTTTTATTACATATTAATAATTCAGCACTGGATCCACGAGCCTGTTTCTCGAAGGTTCTGCTAACTAAAAGTAAAGCTGTTCTGTTTTCCTTCAAGATAGGGGTTCCAAAAGAAAATGAAAATTATGAGCCACGGATTGATACAACCAAAATCCCCAGACCCTCTCCCCCTCTCCCTTTATACGATAATAATGACCAGTCTTTTCTATTTCTTGAGTGAGTTCTATTCTAAAAATTGGTGCAAAAGGTCTACTGAAATCACAATTTATACGGTCTGCTTGTTCCACTCCACGATATGCTGCTGAACAAAAAGAGAAAAGCTGTCGGTTCGATCTGCTGTGTTGTTTGGTCAGTGAACTACTTGCCGTCGATCCAGAACTGAGTCGTATCACTCAGGTTTGAGGTACAACGGAATTTGGGATTTGTAGAAGCGTACAACCCAAAGTTGTCCTCGTCATTTTTGGCTGGGTCTATCTTACTTCCGTCAAATTGGCAAGATCCGCGATAGGAACTGTCCATATGCAAAGGAGTAGGTCGTTTATACCATGTCCGTGCTGTACAATTCACACACTCATTTTCCCGGATGTTCACATATTCGTAACGACGACAGTCATCGGTCACTATGGGAACGTCTCTGATGATATCAAAGTCTTCAAGCGAGGCTCTCAGGCAATCCGTATATACTGTGCCATCTGTGTCGTATCGGCAAGTAGCTCTCCAGTAAGTCGAGTGATCTCTGAGCCAAAGGAGGTAAGGTCGTTTCATGAGGTAGGCCTGCCAATTTGGAGCATCACCGCTGATGGCTTGGTAGTCATCGTAAAATACGATCAGTTGCAGACAGAAAATGTGAACTTCAGTTGGTAAAGATCACTTTCACATCCATGAACTTAAGATCATTGCAGCTCGAAAAAAAAAATTAGGCTGAACTTTTTATAACGTACTCTTGTCAATTTGAAGCATTACTGCTGATGGCACTCGAGTCTGGATAGTCATTATGTAGAAATCAAAGTGCTCTGTGAGCAAACTCGTGAATTGACACATGATTTTTTAGATTATGTTTAATGTTATCTGGTTTAGGGAATTTTGTGGTTGATTGTCATATCTAAAGTACGAGCAGTAGTTCAGTGTTCGCTAATGTAGCAAAGAAACAAAGTAACTTCGGGATAAGAAGGCATTACAATTGAAATGATCATGCCATTACATTTGACAAGGGTGGATGATGTGATGTGTTTTAACGTCTATCATTTTTGTTTCTGGTTCAAAAGAAAACGTTGGAAGTAAATGTGGGTGAAAAGTAAAATTTACCGTCTATCATTGTAAATATTAGAAAATCAAGGCAATACTGTCTTAATGAAAACATTAACGATTCCCTCTTTATCAAACGGGAACGAGTTTTGAGTGATATAACTGAGCCAAGGACTCAGAATCCTGTGTTCTGATTGGCTACCTGAGCGGGCATGATGGGCCCACTCTCGCCCGCTCGGGATTCCCGTATTGATCCCACGCAAGAAAACTTACAAAGTTCGTAACTTTTGGACAATGTTTGCATATACATAGAAAAAAATAAACAACCCTCTTGGGTTTATTGTGCTGCAAACACAGTTGGCTTTCACTATCAGCTCTCGAAATAAACAGGCCTTTCTTGATTCTTATCAAAGCGAAATCTTTTGCTATACAATGAATCCTTTAATGATTAAGCCAAGAGAATATAAACTCTATTGACCAAGCTTGTATGGTCAAGATTACTGGATATTAGCCTCGTTCTTTTTCTACTTTTTAATGGACCGTGACTTCTTCTCAGTCCATAAAAACGCAAAAAAAAAAAAAGAACTCGGCCAATACAGCCATTTTGACCTCACGCTCGGTCAATAACGCATGTGAATATATTTTATGCAGACCCGTACAAATCTGGCAAGGGAAGACAGTACAAAAAATGCCCTTCCGAGCCCAGCAGTTTGTCTAACGTATAAGTTGGTGGACTTCTTTTTCCTTGTAATTCGGTTCATCAAGTGTTAACTTCAGCACTGATGACAGAAGTATTTCGTCAAAATCTGTTACACTTAAGAGTCTGAGCCAATGATATAGAGAGAGCTATTAGTCAACGTTATCGTTGCTTTTGCGTCCGTCAATTTGATGCCAAAAGCACATCAGTATCAGTATAAGATTTTGTAGCCAATGCTTTTCAACCTACGTCTTTAACAAATAAAAAGACGCTGATTAATACAGTGAGCCCGCAATATTCCATAAATATTGGTCGGGGGATTCTTTGGTGCAACGGCTGTCACTTTAACATCTCAATGTTAGCGCAGTTAAACGATTGCATAGGAGGCTTATTACATTTAAGACCGAACGTTATTACATTTAGGGCTTTATTACATTTAGGACCAAATATTATTACGTTTAGGACTTTATTACATTTAGGACAGTTATTACATTTAGGACTTCAACATCTCTGAGCAGGTTCCTCCATTAAGACACAGATTGTTCCTGCAGCAGCCGTTGCTACATGTGACGTCAGTAACACATGGAACGTTAGGAGCCTCATGAACAAAAATTCATTAAAATAAAAATTAATCTTCTATCACCAGTTTATCTTTATGGTATTATTTTAATTTAACATATTTAAAAAGTGTTGCATTAATCATCAAACGTGCGGTGAAGTGGGTGACGTTCGAATTCTCACGGAGAGCTTAACGTAATTGTTTTGATTCCTCTTTGATATGTTGTAAACCGAAAAAAATCATTACTTGTTTCAATAGAAAATTTCATCATCCTTAAGACAAGAATAAAAGAGGTACGCATCTTGCAAGTAAGGACCAATACCAGGGTTATTCTTCAAATTTTGAGTTTTCTGCAAATTACATTAAAATTTTAACGTATTTTTCGGCAGCCATTATTTCGGGTTTAAAATAAACAGTGTACCTAACATATAAATAATTTTGCGGATGGGTTCAGTATCCACGTAGAAGAACAATTTTGACAACATCAAGAAGTTTATCATAGTACATTGTTTTTATTGTGGTGATTTTTTGCAATCTATCGTCAATTTCTATTTAAAACAATTTTAATAGAGCCAAGACAATTAAAAATATATCAAAAAAAAAAAAGATATGTCTCATATCCCGGCTGGACGAAGACTGGCGATCAGGCTTCGTAAAAACAGCTTTTAAAAATATAAAATTTAGTACCTTAGTGAAGGTTTCTCTTCGCAGTATGTAATAAATAGATCCTGGATTGTTTACTAGAGAGTTCTTTCCAGTAAAATGGTTGCCTTCATTCAACTCGCAATATTTGGTTTCGTTCTTGACTTTGTAGTTTATCGACAAACATCGACAGTTGTTTATACACCACAAGTAGCACTGAGCTGGGTTCGATATAACAGAATTGTGGAAACATGGCCAACAAGCTCTTAGTTCTGCTTGGCATGTTGTTGCTCATTAAAAGTGATCTTTTGACATTTTCCTGTGAGGCAGTCTCCCTTAACTTGCCAAACTGAAATGAATAAAAACACATACTTCTTATCCAACATTTTACCTTTCACACCCCACTCGAGAAAACGATGTTTCTCGTGATGTCTTTCTTTAGCAGATTACTAATTTAGACATCGCCTTTCCTTTAGAAGTTAATTGAGGTGTGAGGAACCAATCAAATCAGTTTATGGAAAAGACATCACAATAGGAACAAACAATTTTCAGGAAGTTTGCCAATCATGGCATGCAATTATTTTTCCAATTGTTTTTATTAAGACCACCTCGCTTTACTGTACATATCACCAAAGGGTAGTTCAAAAGTATTTCTGCAAAATTTTTAGGACGTTAAGTCTTCCAAAGAGAATATCAACACCTGATATTCTCTTGGTTTTGTCTTACAGTAAGAGGCCCCAAAAAAAGGTTAGAAAACGTATACGCTTTTCATTATAAATGAAGAATTAAATTGGGTTTAAGGTTGATTAAAATTTGATGGGAACTTAATGTATTAATGTTGTTGAATATATATGGGTCAGTAAAACAAAAAAAGATAATAGACAAACCAAAAAACAATCGCCAATTTGCCCACAACACGATTTCCTCGGGCGCACTGATATGCAAAATTCTCTTTACCATCATCTTCTTGTCACAAATTAATTTTTCATGGAGCTCAGCTCATAATCCGTTGAGAACAGACATGGTTTGGTGCTACTCTGGTGATCATGTCTGATTGTCTACCTGGTTGCTATGTGAACTTCAAGTTATCCGTAGAGATATTTTTCGGGGAACACAAACACCTGGAGAAATAAAAACATACACGACAGAAATTCATGATCATATACAGCTGCCACTGAGCAGTTTTTCCTCATGTTATAGCAAAAGTTTGCAAAGCTATCCAAAATGTAGAAAATGGACATATTTGACTACTATAAAAACTGCTGAAAAGTTTCCGCTGATTAGATGTCATAACAGATCGCTAGACGTAATGGTACGTATTCATACGCTAGATCGGCTGAAGCATATGAAATTTCATTGCAACGAGACTCACCAATCAGTTACGTTTGGACTGAAAAAAACAAAACAACGAAACGAAAAGAGTATAGAAAAAATTCAAGTCAGAGAAATTACCGCAAAAAATTAAATCACGTTGTCAGGCGGACTTTCGCCATCAAAGTTTTCGTTAGCTGGTATTTAAGAAAGTGATTTTACGACAGAATCATATTTTTATTTTCTTTTATTAATTTAACGCTGGATGCATGGTAAGTTCTTTGCTCGATCTGCTTCAGGCTTGGAGCTTTTGAGATGAACTGCACGAAAGAGGGAAGAATGTTTATATATTCTCCAGGTTATCTGCTTATCAAATTCATTTAGCCACCTTGCTAATAGTATTACTTTTGGGGGCGCCTAGAGAAATTCAAAGAATTTTTAACTGTCGTGAAAACTGACTATATCTGTGATGCTACTACCGGCTACTCTAAAGCAATAGATATAAGTTTTATATCTGCTCTGTCATTTGTATTAACACAATTTATGTGCATTTGCAGTTGTGTTGAATATTGAAATTCAATGGCCCTTAATTGAAATGGGAAAGTATTGATGAGTGTGGTCAACGCTACTTTGTTGTGGCCTGTGCTTTTTCAAAACCGTTTAAAAGAGTAGTGAAACTGCACAACTCCACGTCGTCTAGAAACAAAACAAATTACTTTAACTCCTCAGCGGTGAAATAAAGTTGGTTGAAACTAAAATAACGAACAATTACAAAAGTTACACAATATATGATATGTAGAGAATAACACATCGGCGCACGTAGATATGGAGTTTCTCTTCTAGTGTTCGACTAAGTAAATTACGTGCTACACTCTCTCAGCGACGCAGCATTACAGTTTCTTCAGAACCTTACCCCCTTTGTTCATATATTATTTTGTTTATCATACAAGGGTTTGGTTTCAAAATCCTGTCAGTGCATAAGTTTGACTTAAGTCCTTGATTCCATACGGAATGATCTTGTGTGACCGAGTCAGTCCACATTCCTCCTTAGAGTTGATAGCGAAGGTTTTGATCAAGTAGATCGAAATCACCTCGGCGAAAGGGAAGGAACGATTGCATAACGAAAAAGGGTGTTATTTGCTCATGAAGTGAAATTTTTAATTTCTTTCGGGCAATGTGCCCTGAACTTTCAGGGAAATAAGCGTGAATAAGAAAACTTCAACTTACTTCGTCATTTGATAAAAAATTAGAGCTCCATTGATTACGAAATTTTTAGCCGGCATCCGACGCAGTTTTAGGAGGAAACAGACAAAAACTGCCCATAGAGTTTACACCCAGCGTTTTCATTAGAAGGTGAATGAGCACGGGGGCTTATTTTATTGAACCCCCTTTGTCTCACATATCAAACTTATTTCCCTTAAGCGCGAACATTTGCCCTAATTAGCGTCCAGGCTGGCGCGGACAACGCTTTCCCTACTGCGCTTGCGGATTAGAGTATTCATCGCATTAGTGACAATGCTAGGGAAAGGAGAGTCCCAA